ATAGTTCGACGTTGAGGCAAAGAAAATAGAGTTGAAAATGTATTAAAATTAAGTAGTTAGGAAACTTCTTTTAGGTCCAGGAGGTCCTTAGCCCAGCATTGGTACATACATAACTTCACGCCTGTCTCCTATGGGGATAGGCAGAGACTAGGGAACGCTAATTACTACGATTCTTACATACCTCTCTCGCTTCATTAACAGTCATCAATATTTTCATGCATTTACGTCGGTTAAGGGTACTTTTAATTTGGCCCTTCTTTAATATATCGCCAATCTGGTCACTATATGTCTGTCTAGGGCGCCCTCTACCGATGGCCCTATTCATATCCGCTCTGTATACTTCTTTCGTTACTCTACTTTCATCCACCCTTTCTACATGTCCAAACCAGCGTAACATTCCCTTTTCAATCCTTGCATTGGTAGTCGATGATATAATAAACCATTTATTTCAAGTAACCAAGACTCACAAAATGATAGTAATACTTACATCTATGTTAGTTATCACAATTGTTTTATAGTACAATAAAGCCTGCCTCATTGGCCGAGTGGTCGCAAGTGCGACTGCCGGGCAAGGGGTCTCGGGTTCGATACCCGGGTCGGGTAAAGTATTACTGGGTTTTTCATAAAATTTCACAGTAGTAGCACGGAGTCTGGAACTATGCCCGGTATATGGCAATAGGCTCACCCCCTATCACATGGGACTCGTTACATAAATAGTGAAAAAGTGGGTGTTACATTGTACAGTGGCATAATGTACACCTCTGCCTACCCCTTCGGGGATAAAAGGCGTGATGTTATGTTATGTATTACAATAAAAGTTTTATAGTAATACGTCCTACCTTAATCCATGGGAAACGGCATTACATCGTCCCATGAATATGCAGTCCAGTCTGCTCGCAATCATACTCAGGATACTGTTGGAGCTGACCCACACCCTGCTCACCAGGGAAGTACACCTTTTGCGCATTGTTCCATAAAAACTGTCTATGTGTGCATCTGCAAACATCCCTGATGTTAACAGAAGTGGGGCAGCCCCACTAGCACCCTAAATGCATTATTATATTGAACACGGAGAGCGATGTACGACTTTTGCGCAAATGATGGTGAGGTTGGTTGAAAATAATTGAATACTTTTGGACGAATTCTCCAAGGACCTCCTTCATTACACAACTAAATAAAAATGTCTCTTATCACTTATTTATGATAGTGTCCTTCTAAACAAGATTATTTCGCTTCAATACTATAAGGAAGGGATTTCCTCTATCGGAAAGCTATTGACAAAGTAATCATGTATAGTTGTTTATTCGATTCGATATACCTACGTAAAGTTATTTCGGAGCAAGATCAACTGTTTTTTTTTTTGTTAAACTGCATCAAATATACTTCACATATTTGTGATTTATTCTTTACTAGCGACCCGCCCCGACTTCGCACGGGTTCGCATTATAAACCTCTAAATTTATCAGTGTTTCTCTACTATATTACGCATATATGATACATATAAACCTTCCTGAAGAACTCACTCTATTCACTCTATCTATTTAAAAAAACCGCATCATAATCCGTTACGTAGTTTTAAAGATCTAAGCATACATAGGGACAGACAGACGGCGGATAGCGATTTTGTTTTATACTATGTAGTTTCTCAGTAGTAGCACGGAGTCTGGAATTGTGCCCAGTATATGGCAATAGGCTCACCCCCTATTACATGGGACTCATAATATAAATAGTGAAAAGTGGGTACATTGTACAGTGGCATGAAGTGCCGAAATGTGCACCTCTGCCTACCCCTTCGAGGATAAATAGGCCTGATATTATGTTATGTTACAACCATCTACTAAGTGTAACAAACACTTTTCTGAAAACCGCATCAAAAACGGCTCAGTCAATCGTGAGATAATCGCGTACAAATATACATACATACAGATCAAACTGCAAACCTCACTTTTTTTTAAGTCGATTAATAATAAAACATATTTTATTCACTTCCTACACTACAAAAATTTCAAATAGATTAAAAAACTACTTAAATTATATTTTTTTCGTAATTTATTTACTGTTATCTTTATCAGAGAGAGTGTTCATCGTCATTGAAGAGGTTCCAAGTCCAATGAGTTCGGATATTTCCTCCCATGTATGAGCATCAATCATCAAGATCAAATCTGACTGTAAGTAGGCTGCTTCCACTGAAAAATAAAGAAATTTTAATCATTCATCCAGGTACGTATTTATCTATATTATAATTATGTAATAACTAGCTTTTACCCGCGGCTTCGCTCGCGTCACAAAAGGATAGAAAGTAGCCTATGTGACATATACATACAGCGCCATCTATACCATTACTTTTGTTTTCTCTCGGGAATATGAAATTTTTCCGGGATAAAAAGTACCCTATTATTTAATCCGGACTTCTAACTTTACGTCTGCAAAAAATCAAAGCAATCGGTTTAGTAGTTACGGCGTGAAGGCGGAACAAACAAACAAACAAACAAACTCACTTTCGGATTTATAATATTATATATATAGTAAGGATTCTAGTTATGATATACGTCCCATATCGTTCTTATAGCATAAATGTTTTATTTTAAAGCAACTTGGTATTTTGTTATAAATAATACGTATTTATAACAAAACATACACATACATAACAACATTTTAACTCGTCGAGTACCGTCATTATAGACACAATTAAAGAACAATAGGTTGCGGTCACCGGTGACCGCTTGGTGTTTGACAGTTTAAGTGTGGGTGAGCCATGCTTCGGTACAAATGGACCGGCTCGACCAGAGTGATACCACAGCCTCACAGAAGCCCGACGTAAAACAACGCTTGCGTTGTGTTTCGTCGTGTGAGTGAGGTTTCCGGAGGCCCAATTACCTCTACCCCTTCCCTACTCCCTAATAACCAACAATCCTCAAATTCCTAATCCCAAAATGCCGGTAACGCACTTGCAACGCCTCTGGTGTTCCAGTTGTCCATGGGCGGCGCCGATTGCTTACCATCAGGTGATCCGTCTGCTCGTTTACCGGCTTATACCAGAAAACAAACATACATACTTAGTCTTAACTGGCAGATAATATGAGATATTTTCCAGTGAAAGGCAGTTCATCATCATCATCAACATCTATCTAACCTACCTCACGGAAGCATTCATCTTTCAGAAGTATAACTATTGTCACCAAAATATTTTATTTTTAATTCTTTTGACGGTAAGTAAAAAACCTCGCTAGCAACGAATTTTACAACAAACCTATTTAAATACTTAGGTATCCTGCGTTCTTAACATTCTTTCGAGGTAATGGATACGACAATATTCAACACTGGACTAAAGCTAGTATTCTTTTAATTCTTTTGCTGGTTTAAAGACTAAAAACGTAAATTTACTAACACGAGGTGCGAATCCATAAACTTTTCTCACTCGGGAAACACAATGCAAGCGTTGTATCACGCCTTTTTTTGTAAGGCCGTGGTATCACTCCTGTCGAGTCAGTTTGGCATCCTTAGTATTTGTTGTGAACTCTTGACCAACTAAACAGTCAATATTAACTTCGCAAATAAAGCTATTTTAATAAAAATCCACATGTATCAATTATACTTCTCATTTGGTTGATATTGTTGACTATTTTCTTCATTCTATCCAGTTCCTTTTCTATAGCTATCTTAGTATTGTCGAAAAAATCCGGATCAGCAATATCTTCCACGGATTTAGATGACCTTTCCATTTCTAACTATTATGTTTATTTGAATTATTAGTCTAAAACACAAACTTATACATTATTCAACCAATTACAAGACCCTTGCTAACTATGAATAATCGTCGGGACAATATCAGAATATTTCTCAAAATGGATGAAATAATGCCAAATAATTTCACTAACCTCACTGTTTTTATGTTTACATTAACACAAACTAATAAAATCCCGTACGAGAATATTTTTACAAAATATTCACAAATAAACTATTTGATTTTAACTCGAAGCCCTAAAAAGTTTGACAATCGGAAACGCAAACGGAGCGGGAAAATGTACGGAACTTTTTAAAATCAGAATTAGGTCAACGATTGCACGCGATCGCCGACAAACAGCCAGATTATATGAAAAGAGTTTTTAACTCCCGAAACTGTTCGTAAAATTAAAAACGAACGTTTACTGAAACTAGATCGTGCTTTAAAATAAAATATGATGTTAAAATATTATTTTATTGAATATTTTCATGATGTTTGTTATAAAATGAGTCAGTACTTTGTAAAAAAACTAGAACAGTATGATATTACTAACTCGGTTCTTTGATAACAAATTCCCTTTAACACAATTAACACAACAACATTATTTCATCAATGTCAGTTTATAATCTCCAGAATGTCGCCAACAAAATAGGGCTTTGTCTAAAAACTTTTAGTAATTATCCGTCATTACGGCTTTTAACATAATTTTCTTGACAGACATACTTGTTTGCCAGCGGCAGATTGTGTTAATTACCTAGTTTATGTTTAAATAAACGAAAGAAGATTACATTACGACAATAAATCATCTAATCATAGTATTTTTTATCTTACTGCCTCTTCACAGATTATTAAAAGTTTGTAAAAAAATGTAAACGACGCCAAAAAAATTGTAAAATAAATACGCGTGCAAAGACAACATAACCATTCAGCCTAGTACATAAACAATATTATTATGTGTGAAATCCATCACAATGCATGAAATAACGATCAATTAGCGCAAACAGTCGAACAATGATGCCAATCATCTCGGTCGAGCGAACTAAATCTGTTTTTGGATGAGTTTTGGTATGTCAGCCGCGTCACACGCCGAATGTCATTGGATTTATAAATACAATCAGCTCCAGAAATAGGTGGCTACAGGTTTTCCAGGCGTACCGACCTAAAATAAAGCAGCCTGGATTCGTTAACAATATAATTGTCTCCACTTGGTACGTGCAACGAACTAGTGAGCGTAAGAAGTTTGTTAGTGGTTTTTATAAAATAAATACTTGTGGCCATGGATGATGAGGATGTACAACAGTTTTCTTTGCGCTGGCACAATCATCAGGTAGGTGAGTAATATTTTATTTTATCAACACACCCACTACAGATGACCAGGTACACTTACAAACTATTGCCTTTGGATACATTTTTATTTTCGCTTTAATCATTTAGCCTTTGCCTTTTCCGTGGCCTTATTTTTAAAGTTTTAGTTACATATTTTTATTTCTGTTCTTTTACGTTGCGCGGTAACGTCCTGAAGATGGCGTTTGGTTATAAATTTTAAATATTTAAAATTACAAATTTAATAAATTCGTTTCTTTTCTCAGATAACAAACACGTAATTTTTATTAAGATTTTAGTTTTTGTTTATTATTTCTGATGCTCGAAATTTAAAAACACGTTCGAGTTTTAATTTTGAGATTCGAAATTCAAATTGAAATGTTTTGGCGCTGTAATTTATATTTTAAATTGTACATAATAAAGATACCCTTGCTTAGCCTGTATGATATTACCTTTGCCAATGACACTAAATAGTAAAGTTACTAATAGATCACACGCACACCAACTAATCGACTATTGAGCTACAACTAATGCTGATTTTTATTAATTTTGTATTTTAATTTGGACAGCAGCTTTTATGAAATCCGTCTTTCAAATAATTATTTTAATTTCATTTTATTTTGTATAAAAAATGGTTTTCATTCTATATTTTTATATTTTCTTTTATTTTAACACATTGTATTGCCAAACTGTGTAATGTATTCAGCAAATAATATAAAAAAAATGTTTTTGGTTTTTTATAAATACGCTATTATATATTCCATTTTCAAATGCCAAATAATTCATTATATTTTTGCTATTGACAAATTGACAATATTAGTAGACCGAAATACACACAAAACGTTTTTAACCTATTGAGGTTATTTCAGTATCAGGTACAAAATACCAAATTCAACTAGTTTTTTTTTAGAATACTATTTTGAAAAAAGGTCGAGAATAACGTATCGATTTTAAGACGGGTTTCTCATAAAGCTGCTGTAAGCCAAGGTATTAAAGTTGACTTTTACTTGAACAGAACAGCTTGATTGGAGCCCTAGGTCGTATGTTGAGTTCGGGAGCCCTGACTGACGTCACATTGAGCGCCAGCGGGACTTCTGTGAAGGCCCATAGACTTGTGCTAGCATCTTGCAGCCAGTACTTCGCTCAACTTTTTAAGGTAAAACTTATTAATCCATTAAGATGTCTATTTTTTATTGCGATGTGGAACAATTCTCGTCTGGATGTGTTGTGTATGATTAATTTGTAGTAAATGTATGGTTTCAGTCAATTGTACTAATAAATGAACCGTAAAATATTTATATTTTTATTTCTTTTCGTACATTAGACATGTGGGGCATTGTGGGGGCTTACTCTTGAATCCAATACCGATCGATCGACATTGGTATTGTCAAATTTCGTACTCTCGAGTTGCAACACTAGCGCCCATTGCATCCGTGTTGCGTGGACCTTTAATGAACTAAATGGTGTTGAGTTTGGCTTTAAATTCCGTACTCTGAATACTATTTTGACAGCTACGATTGGGGTTGTATAGCATTGACACTGAATAATTTTTGAGATTTTATTTGATTGAAATTGCATTGACACTGAGATTGGTTTCAAGAGTAAGCACCCTGTGTTTATAATAAAATTATTTTACTTAAGCGATATGTTTATGTTATAACATCAGGCCTTTTAATCCAAGAAAGGAATAGTCGGACATGCATATCTAATAAGAAGAATACATATCTATTTTTAGAATACAATCCATAAATAAAATCAAATCAATTTAATTTGCTAGCAAACTGGTACAGTGGACTGGCCACAGTCAAACTACTCCAATCTGTCAAATTTATTCATCGCATTTTAGACTTTATGTTAATACAATAAAGTTGAAGATGTTATTGACAGAAAAGTATAGGTTGACGTCCGTAACTAGAGGTATACGCCACGCCACATTACGTTACATTACGAACAATTTTATATTTATTTACTAGCGACCCGCCCCGGCTTCGCACGGATTCAATATTCATGTATTATACATATAAACCGCCCTTAAGAATCACTCTATCTATTTAAAAAAACCGAATTAAATTCCGCTGCGTAGTTTTAAAGATCTAAGCATACATAGGGACAGACAGACGGCGGATAGCAACTTTGTTTTATACTATGTAGTGATTTGCCCCTTAGATGATGACTTAATGTCCTAAAGCATATTCTACCAGTCAGCCATTATAGTAGTATAATATTTTCAAGTATGAGAGAGCCATGCTTTATCACGAACGGGCCGGCTCGACCGGAGCGATATCACGGCCTCACAGAAGACCGACGTGAAACAACGCTTGCGTTGTGTTTCGTCATGTGAGTGAGGTTACCGGAGGCCCAATTACCCCCTTACCAGTCTCCCCAATCCCCGAATCGCACACAATCCTCAAATTCCCAATACCCAAAAGGCCGGTAACGCACTTGTAATGCCCTTGATTTTCCAAGTGTCCATGGGCGACGCCGATTGCTTACCATCAGGTGATCCGTCTGCTCGTTTACCGGCTTATCCGAATAAAAAAATGTTCTTACATTTATCTGCTGGAACTTTCAGGAGGTGGAAGCTGAAAACAACACACTCGTAGTGGTGCTCGGGTGTGATGCTACTGAACTCCGTCTGCTCCTCACTTTCATGTACACCGGAGAGGTGACAGCCTCCAAGAAGATCCTCCCATCCCTCCTACGACTTGCACAAACCTTGAAGGTTTCTGGACTTACGGATGCCGATACGGTAAGATTTATTGTAATAGTATTTAATTTGAGTTCAGTTTTTTTTTTATAATACTTTTATAACACAATATTGCTCTCTGCCTCGCTGGCCGAGTGGTCGCAAGCGACTGCTGGGCAAGGGGTCTCGGGTTCGATACCCGGGTCGGGCAAAGTATTACTCGTTCTTTAAAAATTCTCAGTATTAGCACGGAGTTTGGAATTGTGCCCGGTAAATGGCACCCCCTTACATGGGACTCATATCATAAATAGTGCAAAGTGGGTGTTACATTGTACAGTGGCATTAAGGGCCGTAGGTAATGTGCACCTCTGCACCGTTCGGGGATAAAAAGGCATGATGTTGTTTTGTAAATAAATCTTGCATTAACAATAGATTATTATGTTATTGCGCTATACTCAACCAATTTCCAACAATTTCAGAACTCAACACTAACGCCGACTGAATCCGAAACTCCAGACGAATTTCATAGAACAAATATACCTGAGTCTCCAGTTAATCTTGAAGTCAAGAACGAGCCAGCACCCCAAGTCATTAACGACAACTCCAGCTCTAGTTCCAAACTCAATTACGACGACATAATATCACCAACCAATGAGAAAGAAGGGAGTTTTGCCGACTTTATGGGTAAAAGTGAAAAGGATCGACTTAGCAAATTGGATCAAATCGTCCAAAATTTGTATAGCACGCACAAGATTGGCAACCCTACTGCTACTCTGGTGAATTCTGGAGGTGAGTTCATTACATTTTTCTTATCATGCTTTGAAAACCTCACTCCAGATGTACGTGTTGTCGCGGAGAACCTAACGGGTTACCGGGGCTCCGGCTCGACGTGCAGGAGAAGGAACGGGGTGGTTTTTAGTCAGTAAGAGTCTGACACTCCCTCCGCCTCACCGAGGCGGGAGCAGTCATTTAATGATTGTCCCCCCTTAACTTTCTCGGGTTGTGGTTCCAATCTTACTAACATTATAGATAATATGAAAGTTTGTCTGTTTGTATGTTTGTTAATTTTTAGGGAACAGAGTGGAAAGACCATTGATATCGGTTCCCCCCTTAAAAAAAATCCGGGTATTCTCGGCTCAGTTTAAAAGAATTAAGTTTGTCAGCACTGCTGTCTGAACTCCGCCAAATGCCTAATCCCCTCCGCCCAAAATAATAAACCAGTTAATACAAAATATATCTATCTCTCTATATCAGTCTAAGTATTTGACAAAAAGTTCTAACAACTTGTCAAAAATCAATTTTGATTAAGATTAATTTCTGACGCTACTTGAGACTCGACCCAAACGTGAACTATCAAACTATGTAATTTATCAGCCTTATCATAGTATAGTCTATCATTGTCAAAAATATTAAAATTTTAGATGTTTGTCCGTCAATCACGCTGAAACTAACATAACATAACATCACGCTTTTTATCCCCGAAGTGGTATGCAGAGGTGCACATTATGCTACTATACAATGTAACACTCACTTTTCACTATTTATGTTATGAGTCCCACGTAATAGGGGGTGAGCCTATTGCCATATACCGGGCACATTTCCGGACTCCGTGCTACTACTGAGATTTTATTTAAAAACCCGTTAGTGTTTTGTCCAACCTGAGAATCGAACCTGAGACCCCATACCCGGCAATCGCACTTGCGTCCACTCGGCCCACGAGGCAATCACGCTGAAACTTCTAAACGGATATTGATGAAATTTGGTATACAGGCAGGGCATGAGCTGGCTTAGATGATAGTGATACTTTATATTCCGATTAAATGCTCCCAGGAATCATATTTTACGTGGACGATGTCGCGGGCAACAGCTACTTATATATATTATATAGATGTGGATCTGCACCTATAATAATTGTAATAGGCAATTTCCATCCCGATTAAATGCCCCCATGGGATAAAACAGGAATCATATTCTACGCGGACGAAGGCGCGGGCCAGTGCTAGTTACAAATAAGTTAAAAGTCTTTAACAACTTAATGTTAAGATAGAGATGATGACTTAAAATCTCTGAGGGCTTGTTATATTAAATTCAATTAATTATATAAATTGAATAATGGAATGAATCAAGATTGCAATTTGTTTTGATTATGTGTTTATAATTTGTTTAACAGCGTTGTAGACTTTGTTGTTTGGAAAGTTTTGATATAATCTAAAGATTATTTGAAACATGTATGTATGTATAAAGGAACATTCCTACTAGGAGCACTAAGAAATGGTTTTCGCAAATTCACGCTTTAGAAAAAACAAAAAGGGATCCAATTTTCAACTATGACGTGTATAAAGTCGCAGTCAACGAATTAATAGACTTTATAAGTGTATAATAAGGTCGTAATTACGTTTTCCACAAAACTGACGACTGACGTGTGCAAAGTCGACTTCAACTATCCTTCCTTACTTATAATATTATAAATCGGAAAGTGAGTTTGTTTGTTTGTTTGTTTCTTCCGACTCCACGCCGTAACTACTAAACCGATTGCATTGAATTTTTCAGACGTAAAGTTAGTAGTCTGGTTTAAATAATAGGGTACTTTTTATCCCGGAAAGATTTGATATTCCCGAGGGAAAACAAAAGTATTGGTATAGATGGCGCTGTAGGTATTGGTATATGTCACATAGGCTACTTTTTATCCTTTTGTGACGCGAGCGAAGCCGCGGGTAAAAGCTAGTGTGTTAATAAATAAACGAAATGTTAGTTACAGAAATACCAGAGTACGACAGAAAATGGCGGATGAATAGCTCGGTATGCACAATCTGCAACAAGAGGCTGTCGAACCAGTACAACCTGCGCGTGCACATGGAGACGCACGCCGGCCGCCGCCACGCGTGCCGCGCCTGCTCGCACGTGTCGCGCTCCAGGGACGCATTGAGGAAACATGTCGCCTATAGACATGCTCCCCCGCAACACAGGGCCGGACGAGGTGACATGTGAGCGAATTTGCAACAAAGAGTTTTATTATCAATGGAGTCTACCGTATTTTCCGTCTCTAGATTGCGCAAATGAAGGACAAGGTTCTTTTGTCCAATCACATAATATAAAATCATGCATTTTATCCCCGAAGTGGTAAGCGAAGGAACATTACGGCACTTAATGCAGCTGTACAATGTAACACCCACTTTTCATGGGGTCTCGGGTTCGATTCTCGGGTCTGGCAAAGGATTAGTGGGTTTTTAAAAAATCTCAGTAGTAGCACTGAGTCTGGAATTGTGCCCGGTATATGGCAATAGGCTCACCCCATATTACATGGGACTCATAACATAAATGGTGAAAAGTGGGTGTTACATTGTACAGTGGCATAATGTGCACCTCTGTCTACCCCTTCGGGAATAAAAGGCGTGATGTCTCACTCCCTGCCGCCCTACCCATGCGGGAGAAGTAATTTGAAGATTTTGCCCTCTTAAAAAAAAGACTCCTACTACTACAACTGACGGATCGTCAGTGTCGACAATTTTTGACCACTAGATGGCGCCAGTGTGCTTCTCTCGTTTTTATCCAATAGGGAATTAGGTAATATGACACCATTATTTGACAGCTACAGTGATTAGACAAAGAAACTTATTACTACATTTGCGCTATTTGGTAACCAAAAAACGGTAGGTAACCCCCATTGTGGTGTGCTAATTCTGCTATGATTGTAAGCCCTCAGTGTAGCTTGAAACTTATTGAGTGACTTCGTACGAGTCCAAGAATAAGCCATACAAATTAATTAATTTATTCTGTATTTTGTTAACCATGTCCCTTAATTTTCTTGTAACTTATACGAAAAAATATTTATTGGTTTCCAAAAAATAATGCTCACATATTATGTACTGTAGACTTATTTATGATATTTCCACTCAATTAGAAAATGCAAATTGATGAAAAATTATAATAATTACGAGTATAAACAATAATTAATGCTAATTTGATAAAACTTAACTTAATACATAAGTACATAAAAGTAATTTTCACTTTTTTTAAATATTTGAGCGAAGATCAATTTCAAAATATTCAAATCACAATTATTTGATACAATCAAAATCATAATAATATTAGTTATTGATATTTTATATTAATGTTATTTAGTAAATTACCAAACAATAGTACCCGTTACTGATTTTTTTTAAAGGTGTGACTACAATATTGAGTGGTTGCGAGCATTAAATTCGAGCATGTTCGGAGTGAAATTTTATGCTCATGCTTTTAATGAGTCAGACAGAATATAACTATTTTATCATAAATAAATTAAGATGTTTTCGGCTTACTCACGTAATAATTTGACGAGGAACTCGACTAGTTTGAAGCCATGCTAGAGGCTCGTATTCATGAGCAGCATTTCACAACCCGCGACGTGGCGACTGTAGCGCTGAAGCCGAAAACATAATAATTTATTTAGTATGTCTCACGAAAGTTACAAAACAAATATTTTTATATTGCTCAAAAAATTAATGCTTGCACCAATGTCACACGCTACAAGCATAAAATATTTAATTTTATTCATTAGTAAATGAATGAAATCGACTAAAAACTCTTGAATACCCACCGAAGGTATTTATTACCAAAGTAAATAAAAAAGACGTTTTTTCATTACCTTTTTTTTGAGTGTAATATTGTTTTTATTATTTCATTATCTGATATTTTTTGTCTACGACGCCATAAATATATTTTGTTTATTCGACCTTATTAATGCGTAATAAGGTCGTAATTTAAGTTTTCGACTATTTAATAACTAAATACGCCACGTATAATGTACATAATGGCGGATTTGACCGCTGTGTTACATAGAACAATTTTACAATGCTAGTAATTTTTACTCTGTATTTATTATCCATATATAAAGATATTTTTAGGAATGTTGTGTAACAAAATATTCAATTTATTTTATAGTACTCTGTCCAGGACGTTGAATAAAAGGCGGACATAGTCTCTTGTAATAACGACTGTGGCACCTGGCTACTATAGACTTACACGCAGAACACACACACGTTGACATGAAGGACATCTGTCATTCTCTTAAGTCTGGTAACCCGCACACACGCACACATAAATAAACCACTGACATTCTGGTGCTTCAATCATTTCTAAGTGACATTATTCCGCCTTATTTTTAACGTCCTTGTATTCTGTGATACGGGAACTAACGACGTTTTATAACAGAATATCTGAAAAATCACACAATTATAGAATTACAGATAAACAAAAACTTTATATCAACATTGTTCTAAATATGATTTCGCGCCAACTTACCATGGTACCAACTTACGAAAAATTCAATATGGCGGATTCTTTTCTATGCGTCGCTAGTTCCTATAATGTCCTTTCAACATTATAATATTTTTATAGTTTCTTTCTGAGACTTTGAGGGACATTTAACTGCAATCATGTTTCTAGTCATGTTTAAAACCCTACACTCATGTTTTTAGCGTAAGCTAGTATAAAAAGACATTATATTTAATTAAAAGACAATTTAGTTAAGTCGTTATAAAATTAATAAATAAACAAAAATGTTGAATATTTTTTTAATACACCTTCTGTCCCCAATATTTGTTATCTATATATCTTCTATACATATAATAAAATCGTAGAAAAGTCAAAACTGTTCATACATTGAGTATTTTTAAAAACAATACTTATGGCGTGATCTACCATCGATACCGAAGCCAAAAATATGGATTTTAGAATGTTTGTCTGTTTGTCTGTATGTATGTCCGGGATGATCTCAAAAAGTACTGCATCGATTTACTTCAAATTTTGCAAGAATATTACTAATAGGTCGGGTCAACATATAGGCTACATATTATCATGCTATCATCTACGGGGAAAGCTGTGAATCGTTATACTACGCGGACGAAGTCCCGGGCAACATTATATTATATCATTACATGCTTATTGACAATATATATTATTATATTGTTGATATCCTAATGAATATCACATGACACATCAACAGCTTATAAGCAGCCACTGCTGACAAAATGCCTGTTCTCACACGGAGAAGGTTTGAGCATTAATCACCACGCTGCTCAATGCGGGTTGGCGATTTCAAACTTATAACGAATAAATCCAGGTGTTCTCACAATGTTTTCATTGACGTCTGTTAGTGGTTATCTTTTATATATCACTCAACGCCGTTTTTAACTCCTAAGTACTTATGTATATTTAATTTAGTCTTATATAAAGCGGAAGAGTTTGATTTTTTGTTTGTTTGAACGAGCTAATCTCCGTAACTACAAGTCTGATTTGAATAATTCTTTTTGTGTTGGATAGCGCATTTATCGAGGATGGCTATAGGCTATAAAACATCACGTTACAACCAATAGGAGCTCAGCAGAGCGTCTGAAAACGCGCGGAAGTAGCTAGTTTTTACTAAAATAGCTATTTATCAGTAACATACCATAATAGTATATACTTGACTTCCTCGTTAATGATGCTTTCAACAACAAATGAAACTATTTACCTTAAGCAAAATCAAATATTGTATTACAATATTTTACAAAAATAAACTTAAAAATAAAATCACAATATAAATGCATCCAAAACTAATCTAAATAAGCCTTAATTCAGACATGAGTACCTACAACAAACAAACTAAGTTATTGCGTTTATTACATTTTATCATTATCGTCTAATTCTTGTTTTTTGATCACAAGGTTCTTATGAAATAACTTTCTTATATCCTGAATTTTTGCGCGAAGAGAATTAACAACGCTTTGTTCGTCATACATTCCCCATTTCTTTTTGCGTCCCACACGTTCAACGTAATTTAACATCACCTGTCTTGCATGCTCGTCTAAACCTGGTCTAACATCATTTTCGTCAACTGCAAAAGCGTTAGCCCTGGCCCCGGTCCATGAACACACACTCAATGCACTTCGAGTAAAAATTAACGTCAGCAACATCCTCGCAAATTCCTTATAACTACTCGCAATCCTTTTACAGTTCGCCAATTCGATAGCTTTTACGTAAATACGACTTTTAGGCAAAAGTTCTATAGTAACCTGATCACCACTTTGATATTTCAACGTCCACCTTGAATTTGTCGGTGAATATTCTGGCGGTAACACAAATGAATACTTCTTGCCTCGCCTCTTTATTTCTTCATTAACATTGTTAGAATCGGATTTTGATATTTTATCACCATCACTATCAACAGTCTTCTTGTCATCTTTGGTTTTAGTAGTCTTATCTTCAGAGTGCTTATTATCATTGCTGGGAGTTGTACTTTTTTTGCCATGTACTTTATTATTGTTGCTTGAATTACTACTAATATCACCTTTATTGTTATTGTCGTTATCATCAGAACTATCACTGTCATTATTATCATGCCTATCACCATCATATAAACTATCGTCGTCGTCTTCGTCGTCCTCGCCGTCGTCGACATCCTTTGTTTTCGTTTTTTATTCTTCTTTTTCTTTTTTACTTTTTGGGATGCTGAATGTTTCGTTGTTAATACAATTGCGGAATTTTCATTTTGCAATTCTACATAAGATTTGATTGAAGTTAAAGCTTTGTCAAGCATTTCTTTTTTCATCGTTATTGCTTTATGGTCACGATTTAGAACTTCAAGAATTTCGCCAAAATGATCAGACATTATTTGAAAGACTTTACCGAAGTGTTTTATTACATTAATTTCAATCTGCGTTCGAAATGTTGGCGATAGTAAATTATTCATTTTTTTTGTTAGCCCAATTAATATATCTTCAGCCACATTATGAGTTTGATCTAATGTTACTATATCAGTGCTACTGCTTCTTCCAAGTGGGATTTCTTTAGGAACAGCGTTATCACCTTTGATTTCGTTGCATACAGGTAGTTGTTCAACAGCATCACATGGTGACGTCTTCATGTTGCTGTTAGGGTTTTCGACGGCAGATAATGCATTTTCTCCTCCATTCTCAATAATAGTACTGGTTTTATCAGTTTCCTCTTCCATGTTTTCTTTGATTGCGATTTGGTTACTATTATTTAAAATATTTGTTGAATTAGTTTTATCATTAGTATTTCTTGCTGGGTTTGAGATTTGTTGTACTGCAGTTGGTACATCGTGCGGCATGTCATTTTTGTGAGGGATCTGATCTAACATATCATTGCTTCTCGGCCTCGCCGTAATATTTTCTTGTACTTCTGGCTCTTGATGAGGATAGTTTGCATAAGCTTGTGGGATAACTGTCTTGTTTATATGTGCACTGTGCAAATGTCTTAATTGGTTTGCCGCAATTGGAGGATACGTATGCAGATGTCTTTGTGTGGGAACACCTAAGCTCGGGTGTTTGTGTCCTGTTCCACTTCTTTGCATTAAATTTTGTTGTACTTGCGTGTCAGAAAGCGAATAATTATATCCTTGGTGCGAGTAATTATTGCGATCGTGATATGAATATTCATATGAGTGCGGGTGATTCGATGTTGGTATATTTGGGATTGTATGAATCAATTTCGATGTCTGATCAATTCTGGGTGGTATAGGAACTGGTGGTATAGGGTGTAAAGCAAAACTTTGTTGCTGTAAAGGAAGCATTTGAATGTTAGATGGCATTTGGTTTTTAGGTCCACTAGTTTTGGATATATTAGGCATATTGGGGCCTAAAGGAACTGTGTGAACAGCATAATGTTGCGGCTGTAAATCAGGCATTTGGACGTTCGAAGGCACTCTATTTTCTGGCATCTGCGGATAACATCTAGTATAGGATCTATCCGATACCCTCCTCCTGACTGGACTGCTAGAAGATCTGATTTCATGAGCATAAGTTCCATTCGCTGCAATTTGTTGCTCCGTCTGCCTATGTTGAGACTTTCCAATAACCTGATTATTGTAAGATAAATATTGGAGGTTTGATATATTTTGGATATTAGATACATTGGGGGCCCTACTTTGTGAATAAGTTGGATCTATAATCTTCGTTATGGTAGATCTTTCAGTTGTTATTTGTCGTTCATGTGGATCTTGGTACATAATGGGCGTATTTGCTGTTATTGGATATGGAACTCCGGGAGAATTATTTATTGTTTCCGCTTGTTCAAGAGTAGCTTGCGCGGCTTGCATAGGTTGTGGAGTAGCTTTCGCACCTTGCTTAGCCTGTGAAGTAGCTTGTGCAGCTTGCATAACTTGTGGGTTAACTTGCGCACATTGCATCACAAGTGGAGTACGTTGTGCAGCCTTCTTAGCATGTGGAGCAACTTGCGCATACTGCACAACCGGTGGAGTACGGTGTGCAGCCTCTATAGTATATTGATTAACTTGCGCAGGCTGCATAACCGGTGGAGTGCGTTGTGCAGCTTGTATAGCATATGGGGCAACTTGCGCAGATTGCACAATCGGTGGAGTACGTTTCGCAGCTTGCATAGCAACTTGAGCAGATTGCATAACTGGTGGAGTACGTTGTGCAGCTTGCATAGCTTGTGGAGCAACTTCCGCAGATTGCATAACCGGTGGAGTGCGTTGTGCAGCTTGCATAGCATATGGAGCAACTTGCGCAGATTGCACAATCGGTGGAGTACGTTTTGCAGCTTGCATAGCAACTTCCGCGGATTGCATAACCGGTAGTGTACGTTGTGCAGCCTGCATAGCGTCTGGAGGAATTTGCATGGCTTGTCTATCTGACGCAGCAACGTGTGTATCTTGCGCACTATCCTGTATGTTTTTTAAGCAACTTTGCAACAATTCGTGATCGATACCTTTTAGGCCACCAGACGCAATAAATTCTTGTAAAAGACGCTTTCCTTCAGGTGTCATATTGGAGAATATTTGAATATTATCTAATGTATCTAATTCAGTAGACTCTCTTACCGAATTTCTTCGTCCTTTAGCCTTAGCTGGTGGATTATTATAATTATTATTTTGTAAAGGACGATTGGCATCAATTTTCTTTGTACTTGAATTGCTATCTGCAATTACTGTATTAGTCGGTTTATTAATTAGGCTTGTAGTAGAATGACTTTTGGTTGCATCCATTTTATGCTGACCAGATTGACTGGAAGGCCTAGAGGACGTACTATTTCTTCTATGATTTACAGAATCAGGTGTTTCTTGTAGAATTTGCATTAAAGAACTTGAACCGGAACTCGTAGCTCCATGATCCTTTTCTGGAGCACTTTTACTTTTATTTGCACTTGAAGTGACTGTTATTGGGTGATGTGAATGCATTTTTTGGGCGTAAGAAGTTTTAGAAGGGTTTTGTTTTTCATTATTAGTTAGATTTACTACTTTAGACTTTGTAATAAATAATTCTGGTAATCTGGATATCATAACTGCCAAATCTTTACATAATTTTGAATCCTTTTCTGAGTTGGAAACGTTATTTGTAGGTTCAGATACATCAGGAGTTGATTCTATTCTAGCAGCCTTTCTATTTCTACCGCAATCTATTGATACCTTGCGTTTGAGGGACTGTGTTAATTCATCTCGAGTGTTCATCTTTGCTTTGGTCTTAGGTTTGTTTTCTTGAGCTCTACTCTGCTTCGGAGGTAGTACTTCTGTAATTAAAAATTAAAATTTGTGATTCATTTAAAGATTAGAATTTTGCACAGAGTAATTCTATGTGGTTACCCTCATAATTTTTTGTGCTGGATTTGGGTTCGGAATTTTCTGTTTCATCAACTTTACCATGTAATCTCTCTTTACAGAATTAAAAATGTTTAAATATTGCGTTATGGAACTTACGTGGAGTCTCTAAGAGTGCATTCAGCTTCTTGCTACTCTCTACGCGTATGATATTCTCAGCATCCCACGGACAGTCTGGAAATTAAATCATTTCACTGTTAAAATTTTGTCTGTACTGTTGACAGGTACTGTGCAAGGAGTTAATAGTTCCGATTCGAACGCAGAGCAAAAATTAGTACTTATTATTAAAATTATCGTTCCCAAACATATTAGTACAATTATACACACACACAACTATTAGGTAAAATCGAAAGGGTTCCAATTTCGATATCGAATAACGATATTAGTATGACTGACCCGATTCCGGAATACCAATAGTAGATAGTTATTAAAAATACTGCATAATATTAATCTTCGTACTAATACAAGGCTAGAGTGGCGATAGTACATTTTGTTTATATCTAAAGTGCACGGCAGGTCATATAAGATTAAAATGTTTTATAGTTAGACATTCTCTATATTTAAATTCTATATTTCATCCTTACTAATAATATTATAAATCGGAAAGTGAGTTTGTTTGTTTGTTTGTTCCGACTTCACGCCGTAACTACTAAACCGATTGCATTGAATTTTTGCAGACGTAAAGTTAGTAGTCTGGATTAAATAATAGGGTACTTTTTATCCCGAAAAAAATTTATATTCCCGAGGGAAAACCAAAGAATTGGCATAGATGGCGCTGTATGTATTGGGATATGTCACATAGGCTACTTTTTATCCTTTTGTGACGCGAGCGAAGCCGCGGGTAAAAGCTAGTTCACTATATTTTTCAATATCTATAAAAATACTAAAATAAACTTTACTGCCTTACAACTACGTAAGTAGGTACTGGCTGAGGAAGAGATACTGATCTCAGATTTTATATCTGAGTAGTCTAAGATAAGCAAACAACGCACTAGAGAAGCTTCTGGTGTATTATGTATACTCTGAAGACTGTAAGTGTCTGGTCCTGGCCCTACGAGGGTCGCGAGCGAAACTAACAATGTACCAGGGTAAAATAAGATCATTTATTTTAATAAAAACTTAAATAAAATTAATACTAAATGTACTAAATTAAATATATAGAACTTAAGAAAAAATAATTAAAATAAAACTAAAAACAACATATACTATTTACATAACATATTTTATGTAAATAGTTGTTTATACCAGGGTTGCAGTATACGCCAGGAGTTGAAATGAGGCCCTTTTAAGGTAGTAATCATATGACCTATGTCCGGGGCGGGGTCGGCAAAGCCATTTAATGATATTCCATCAAAAAAAAAACATAGACATTTTTTTTTTTTAAGTGGTGAAAATCATCGAATGACTACATACATAGGCTACGGTGACCGTTTACCAGCAGACGGCTACATTGTCACTAAGCAAGTGGTCTATAAAATAGGTTTATAGTAGTAATTACTCAAATGTAACACAGAATCTCCCTGTAACCGGTCCATGACCTCGTTATCGTTATTTCCATTACATGAGAGTCATAACGTAACTGGTGTACATGTGATTATATTGAGCTCTTTCGCTCACGATGGTGTATTGTTGGCTTATCGCTAAACTGGCGTAGGAGTTGAATAAAATGAGTATGTAGGTTCCTTTTCTAAGCACGTGTTTAGGAAAACATGTTTGGACTTGTAGCAATATTACTATGAATCATAGGAAGTAAATGAATAAACAATTAATTGATTGTCGTAACTTAATTAGATATGTATGTATATGTATATTAATCATAACAATATCTAAACGAAACGCTTAGTAGGCTTATAATGATTTGCGTGTAAAAAACACACAAAGTGTTTTTCTTTTCTGTGGTAAAAACAAATGGCCATTTTTACACCTTTATCTAAAAGTTACCTATTGGGGCCTATACCGTATTTTTCCTCAACAGATGGCGCTAATGTGAACCTCTCGTTCTTCGTCTAATTGTCACGTGTTGTGTCACGCCATTGGATGTTCGATATTTGAGAACCGCTATGATTGGACAAAAAATTGCGCCATTTCGTGACGTAAAATACGGTAGACCCCATTGACGTGGCACCTAGCACCTAAACTACCCCTTCCTTCTGCTGTTAGGTGTCACATAGGTTGATGGAAACGAAAAATTTTAAGAAAGAAAGAAAACTAATTGATTTGCCATTAGGGCTTAATTTTTTTTTGTTTCTCAGATTTCACTGTGATCTGTCGCTCTCTGGGACATTAATCAGTAGGTCGTCGGCCGCAAGTGCGACTCGGCCAATGAGTGCACATTGCGGCACTTAATTAAATATCACTGTACAATGTAACATCCACTTTACACTATCTTATATCTTATCAATTTATATTTATCTGCAAGATTTATTTTAGGATTTAGCAAATAAATCTTTTATGTGTGATTTTTCACATCAATTCTGTAGAACTTCTGTCGAAGACCAGATAGATTTAGATACTTACCTACATACTTAGGTACTAGATTTCGACAAAGATTCTGAAATTTTGAATTTGAGACCTATACAGAAATGGCCTGCCTCGTTGGTCGAGTGGTCGCAAGTACGATTCCCATGTCGGGCAAAGTGTAATTGTTTTTTTTTTAATTCTCAGTAGTAGCACTGAGTCTGGAATCGTGCCCGGTACATGGCAATAGGCTCAGCCCCAATAACATTGGACTCACAACATAAATAGTGAAAAGTGGCGTAATGTGCACAAAGGTGCACATTACGCAAAGCAGGCCCTCTTTGGGGAAACAAGGCGTGATGTTATATAAATTATTAATAAAGATCTCTTATTACTTTAATTAATCGATACGCTAAAATACGCTAAGATAAAAATTTCTCATATCTTGAAGAATGTTCTTCAAGATATGAGAAATATATATTTTGAAACTGCAATTCCTGTAGATACTCCAAATAACATAATAAACTTACTTGTCCCATATTTAGGTGTGCATAAATAAAATTTCCATTCCTTATCATAATCCTGTCTGGATTTGACAATAGTTCTAGTCGTTGGCAGTCTCTCTGGGGGGTAGGCAGCATAGATCCCTTTGGGCCCTCTATCTTCTATCCACGTAGTAGGCACGCAGACGAAGTCATCGATGTTTTGAAAGGGCGACTGCCGAAACTGGATCACGTAGTATTTGTACGATGGATCAACTTTCATCTGGAACCGTTTACAATAGAATTTTATAAATAATAACAAACCCACGGTGTTGTCCGCGTTCTCAGGATTAAAAAGAGCCAAACTCAAACTCAAACTCTTTATTTGCAAGTTAAGGTAATACATACAGGTCTTATGAAATAACAGGCACAGCTTAACGGCCTTTTTCAGGCATAAATTACATTTTGGTTAACATTTTTTTTACATATTTATTGATTTGTTCGGAATATAGGTAAGTACTTAAGGTATATAATATATTAGTGGGTTAGTGCAAAATGTATGTGGGTATTCTTAAAATGTATAGTATATTATATATACATAGAATATTTATATTAAAACTAGCTTTTACCCGCGGCTTCGCTCGCGTCAAAAAAGGAAAAGGTAGCCTGTGACATAATAACATACCAATACACACAGCGCCATCTATACCAATACTTTTGTTTTCCCTCGGGAATATCACATTTTTATCGGGATAAAAAGTATCCTATTCTTTAATCCGGACTTCTAACTTTATGTCTGCAAAAATTCAAAGCAATCGGTTTAGTAGTTGCAGCGTGAAAGCGGAACAAACAAACAAACAAACAAACTCACTTTCCGATTTATAATATTATATATATATATATATATATATATAGTAAGGATGTATAGTATGTTGGTGTGTGCTTGTAGGTAGGTGTGAGGGATTATGTATGTATGCTATGTAGCCTATGTGTTACTCAGAACCTCTATTTCTAATTTCATCCCGGTCCCTTCAGCCATTTTGATGCGACTGAGTAACGAACATACACACAAACACTCATACTTACACATTTATAATATCGTTTCAAGCTAATTTCAACCATCGGCCCTACAGTTACAGCGTAAAGTACACTGCGGGTAAACTAACATTTGACAAATTTATATTTGCGTTTGGTTCAGTAATTTTGTCTAGGGGTTAGGCCGCATAATTAAGTTTGTTTTTTCGTGTATATACTTTTTCGGAAAAAAAGTACCCAGGGCTGTGCCTAGAATATGGAAATATAATCATACGAAGTTTCATCGTAATCGGACCTTTAGTTTTTGCGTGATGCATGCACAGACAGACAGACAGACAGAGAGTCAACCAGACAACAAAATTTTTAATCACATTTTTTTCGGTTTCTATCTAGTAGCACCCCTACTATTTTTTTTTATTATATTTTCAATGTACAATATTTACACTTCTACAGTTATATTATATTCATAGATATACGCATTTGCTTTCATATGATGTTGATTCACGCTGCCAATTTATTTTGGGTGCGTTTACAAACATATAGGTACAATTCACTACAATATCGCACTGAGAATCAGAACAACAAAAGAACGGATCAATTGATTGACTGCACGGTTGGTGCGGTGGCTGGGCAACCGGCTGCCGTGCAACGTGTCGCGGGTTCGATTCCCGCACGGAACAACACTTTGTGTGATCCACAAATTGTTGTTCCGGGTCTGGGTGTCATTATGTGTATGTAAACTTGTATGTTAGTAAACGCACCCACGACACAGGAGAAAATCCTAGTGTGGGGCAACGTTTTTAAAAAAAAAATGTTTCATTTATTATCTTACTTTTCTACTTGCTTGATAGGGTTTTGGAATAAGCCGGTAAACGAGCAGACGGATCACCTGATGGTAAGCAATCGGTGTCGCCCATGGACACTCGGAACGCCAAAGGTGTCACAAGTGTGGTACTGGCTTTTTTGCGAGGTTGGCCCTCAATTATGTGCTGACTAGCTTCTGCCCGCGACTTCGTACGCGCAATCCCGATATTTCCAGATCCCGTTCTTGATTTTCGGTAAAAAATAAAAAAAAATTGGGTAAAAAGTATCCTATGTCCGTCTCCTGGTTCTAAGCTACCTCCACACAAATTTTCATCCAAATCGATATAGCCATTCTCCAGTTATACCTAAATAGTATAACTAACACGACTTTCTTTTATATATATAGATTAAGAATTAGAATAATAATAAAAAATAAAATGGACTTTCTTGCTCATTCTTCTCTATTCGAATCTACATTTTGGAATGAGCACTTAGCTTCACCTAGCGACTGCCTCGTTGGCCGAGTGGTCGCAAGTGCGACTGCCGGGCTAGGGGTCTCGGGTTCGATTCCCGGGTCGGGCAAAGTATTACTGGGTTTTAAAAAAATCTCAGTAGTAGCACGGAGTCTGGAATTGTGTCCGGTATATGGCAATAGGCTCACCCCCTATTACATGGGACTCATAACATAAATAGTGAAAAGTGGGTGTTACATTGTACAGTGGCATAATGTGCACCTCTGCCTACCCCTTCGGGGAAAAAAGGCGTGATGTTATGTTATGTGTTGTCTCCATCTAGCGTCACTGACGGACTGACTGTGTAGGGACTTCAAACTATTACATTTATTGAGCATATTTGCCAAAGCATACTAAAGTACTAGTAAATGACACTGTAAATCAAGTATTTTTATACAGAGTCGTCATGGGGAAAAATATTATAATTCATTGTCATTATCAAGTTTTTAACCACTAAGTATATGTATAAAATGGTTTAGCTAATATAACTGCAGTTTCCTGCCTAATTATTTATCTAGCCTACCTAGTCCTAAGCTGTCCCCACTAATTTTCAGCCAAATTGTTTGTATTGGAGCCATTTATAAAGGTCAAACATATTTTAACTATAACCGGACTTCTCGTAGGCTTGAAAATGCAAAATTTAAAAAATCTAGAGTTTCTAGCTAAAAACTAAGAAAATTTTCATAATCCCCCTTGTGCTTAATTTCACCGGGACACCATGGAGACGCAACCGGTCGCTGCTAGCAATAAACTGTATACAGCTCTATAGAGAGCTACTCATCTCTGGTATACGCATGGCTACGCAACCAAAGACCACTTAAAAATGGTTGATTGTGAATGTTTTTATTCAATTGATGAATTTTTTCACAAACATTCGTGTAATATTTAGTCTTGACTTGGCTTGACTAGTCCATCAATAAATATTAAGTTCCTATTCTTAGTATAAGACATACATAATATTTTAAAGAATGTACCGGATTTGATTTCATGTATGTTATTTTTGGGCATTGCGTACTAAGTCATTAAAGTACCGCATCATATAATGTATCAGTTTATACGGAAAATAATTTTAGTAATTAGCATGTCGTTATGACGGCGAATATCTGTATTTCCTAGCAAATAAATATATTATGTCTTTACCATTCACGGGACCGGAGGGTTCCAGTTATTTGGATGGCATACAAGGAGCCGAAGCCAACTGCTCAGAGGCCCATTAGACAACTTTAATCTAATAAATGTAATGGACACACAAACGGGCGACTATCCCTATATGCACTATGGAACCACCAACCCAAGGACAGTCCCCGTTTAGTGTAGCACTATTGTACATAATGGAAAACAAAGCTAGGGCTATGGATAGGTTGCTGTGGACTAGTAAATTGGGAACTATGGATGACTATGGCAACTGCCGAAACAATGTAATTATTACACGTAAAAATGGCAGGCGGAGACTCGCCAACTCACCGACAGGGCCGCGGGAATGGTTGCTAGATATAACAACAGAGGGACAACGGAAATCTGAGTGGCTGAAGGGTTAAGATACTATCATTTCTTCTACTAAGATCATCTGCTCCAACCGAAGCCTTCTGCATCCCTTGCCCACTCGCGACTTACGAATAGTTTCTTACCCCCTTAGCAGGATTACTGCTCTCGGGACTCCACTCTGAACGGCCAATGAAGGCCAGCCAGAGGTGGGAGAGCTGTTCCTTGTCATCGTTCACTCCAGCCAGTCAATAAAGGCAAGCCGGAGAAGAAGGAACGGTGACTTCTCCCTGGAGCACTCGGGATGATTGTATCCCGCGGGGTCGCTAATGCCCGTCGCCTCGCTTCAAGGTACTTACTATTATTATGTATGTATGTATCCTTACCATTCACGGGACCATAGGGTCCCGGTCATTCGGGAAGCGAACGAGGGGTCAAACCTTAAATCCTAATGCAATGGGACAGAAACCGGCGACTATCCCTGTATTTTAGTGCAAAACTATTATAGACAATGGGAAAAAGGTAGGGCTATGGATGGGTTGCTGTGGAATGGACGGCTAATGAAGGCAAGCTAGATGTGGGAGACGTATTCCTCGTTATCGTTCACTTCAGGTAGCCAAAAGGTAAGCCAGAGAATAAGGAACGGTGACTTCTCCCTGGAGCACTCGAGATCACACACACACTACATCTCGCCTCAAGGTGCCCTGCGGGCCTATTATTATTATAGTATTGTATAACATTCTAAACAATTATAAACATCCTATTTAAGGTTCTTAAGTTGTGTTTCTTCAGTAATACTTCAATCTGACATTTATAAACAATCAATTATTCACCAACAAATCTATATTTGCAACAATCTAACAATAAAGAAGCGTTGTCTAGACGTATTTGTTATTCCAAAATATAAAAAATGTCCTCGTTTACCGTGACAAGATGACCTCCAATCGGTATGCGAATTTTTGTAACATTGGCAATCGCCGTCCGATTTAACGATCTAAATGCGTTCTATTAATATAAAAATAAACACTAAACTCACATTTCACTTCATACACAGACACAGACACTATCAATCTAAAAATAACTTTACTGCACAATATTTAAAACACGAATTGAATTGTTGTAAACAATGTCCGGCGCCATCGCTCTGTATAGCGCTACTGTTTGAGTTCGTTCGTTTAATCAAAATAATGCGAGTGATTCTGGATAAGGCCGGTGTGACGTCACAGGCCCACTATACTTATACCACTATACCTAATACCTAAGCATATAAAATAAAACTACTCTGTTCTTAGTCATACGTCCCGAATCATGAATAAATTCATATAATCGTATACCTACTCAACATACATCAGATACATGACACATGCCAAGTGTATTATCTGTCGACTGCCTGCAAATTTGCTCAGATTATTATTGAGTTTATTTTTTATACACAATAAGTTGAAGTTCG